TTATTTTGACAGCCTAAGCCTCTACCTGACGTACCAACCTTGTAGCTATGGCAGCCCCACCCCGATCGTGTGAGGGTGCTTTGGTATGCAGTAATAAAGGACTTCGAGACAGTCTTGTCTCAAAAGTCCAGCAGTCAATGAAGGTCATCCCTTAATATGACCTTTCCTTCAATGGATCGCGTCTACCATCTAAAATGGATAACTCTACCTAGCGGCTGTTGCAATTTTCACGTAGTAATTATGACGCGGGATTGACCCCAAACGCAGTGACCCCCAAATGACATTCTTGGGGAACGAAGCTATTGTCGACCATATTGATGTCCTATTGCCCAAGCCACCAGCAGCAAACATCGTAGTCAGGAGGTCCATGCCGTACACAATTCAAGAGTGGCTCACACATGAGCCATTTTAACCCCCATGATCACTCTGCTTCTTTGACCAACCACTCTAATATGCTCTTCTTTGATCCTTAAAGATTAAATATCTCTTTGCTAAAGATTAACCTTCCCCTATTGGATCTTTTGGCCATAATATTGCAACCCTTCCAGCATACTCTTTGAGGTACAAAGACCACACATTCCTTTGGCAAACACTGTTCTACCAACGTTGGATCAACCTAGAACTCAAGGCGAGGCCCTGCAAACACAGGGGTCACTGCATTGATTCGTGTTCAACGCGCCTACCGTCAAACGCTTGGGTAAGCCCATTCGAGTATGCTCTTGTTGAAGCCACTTTCCTCTTAGCAAGGTGGAATCATTGGCTGTAGCTAGCCACAGCGTTAAACAATGGAAATGAACAACTGTATCTCTGACTTGGAATTTAATCACTCGCCGCTGATCAGCTTGACTTCGGCTCACGAGATGTGATTGATATCGCGTTATTTTATCAGCACGCTTTAAGGAATGTGTTTATTAGAAAAGTGAAAAACCTAAAAAACATAACCCGATTCAAATGAAGCTATACAAGAACATTGCACCTCTCCATCTGAGGCATGGAATATGCAGAGCAAATATATTCTGCCTCATCGCTAGTGGCACCTCTCTTCCACTTCCCTTCCTCTATTCTATCGAACCATCTCGCCTCTGCCCCCCTCTCCCGCCATGAGTCAACGCACCTGCGCAGCGCCGATCGCTAATGAGCAACCCTATATTCTTATCGACTCCAAACATGAGTAGAGACAGGCGACGCGTGGCCGACGATGGAGCTTAGCACTGATAACTCCGGGCGCTACTACGTCGAGCTAGATGACTTGCTTTGCTGATAGAACTACAAGTAAAAGCTGAATTATCAGTTTTCGCATGTCTTCACCGCCTGACAGCTTATTGATATCGTATCTTAACTACCATGTCGTGTGGTATAACTGGAGAACGAACAAGCTGTTCGCTTAGTAATGTTGACAACGCTACGCCCTCTTGCCTCTTTATGGATGAAGATGGTGATACTCGATTGAAATTTTAGCGTGATCTGCACCTCGAACATATCGACGCCCGATATCGAGGCTTGGTGGTTGAAGTTGCTTTGACACAAAACGCTAAGTCGTTGCTAGAGTTTGTTAAATAAAGTATACAAAATATCGAAAGATTAAAGTGATGCTGTATCCCAATATGAACTGCGATAGATAGACTACTATTTCTGTTTGGAAGCTGAACTTTATCCCAAGAAAGAGATGAGCTGGAGGTTAAGCGATGTTTTCAACCAGGGTTTATTTAAGTTCTTTTCAATATACTCGGAACTAACAAGTCCACTGCCTTAACCGTTGTGAGACGTTGAGAAACGTTTGGCTTTGTTCCTTTATGACTTCGCCCTGAATCACCTATGTCAGGGCCTTCCCAACACCCTTCTCTCCATCCTGTACCGCACAATGTCCGACATGTCAACCAAAGCCGAATGACGTGAGTACATGCACGAACGCAAGGATATGCCAGACCGCCTGCCTCAGGTTGTGGAGAAGCGGCCTTTTGCGATGTCTCGTCAGGCAATTCAGATGATCGAGTGGCCGAGACGGACGAAGAGAGGTATTCTGCCGAGGCAAATAAAGCGCTCAAGAAGGAAGATCGTGATGATGGAGCTGACAAGCCCTTGCGTTGATTTTATCCGTATACTTCAGGGCCTGCGCTTGAAAGGAAATCTGAGTAGGAGCTCAAAAGCCCCTCGAGAAGCGTGGTGATTCTAAAAGCGTGCTTTGCACTATAAAGATAATTCTTAAGTATATTTAGGAAATAGGGTTCTACTAATTGGACAGCATTACTTCATATCCTTCATTTGGGAATTACTAATATGCCCTCATAGGATACAGCGATTGTATTTAGGTCTGTGTATTTCTACCAAGTTAATGTGAAACTGGAAAAACCGAAGTAGAAAACAGATTAGCTCAAGGTAAGCACAGCTTTTGTCCGCAACATTGTGTATAAAGTAAGCATTTGCCCTGACAGCAATTCTCACTTAGTAAGCTGCAATACTGTTAACTATAGGGTACGAGGACACAACGACGTAGATGCACACTAAAAGCGCATATAGAGAAATATTCACCAGGTCTGGACAAGCGCTAAATTACATTGTCTAGTTTGCAAGGATCTTGAGCATGGATAAGGTCGGCTACTGAAGAGAGGGTCCTTTGAGCGTCTTTTCCGTTCTGATCACTTTGATTGGTTTTCCTTTTACATCCTACTCCGGATTAAATAATAGCAAACATATTTAGCAGATGTCGGCTGATTCCACTTCTGAGTCCCTAAATTGTCAGGTCTGGATGAAGATGTGACGAGCTAAGTGTGGGTGCAACTGCCTAAACAAGACCAGGGACAGCAGATCGTAGTGCAGATGAATCCAAACGGCATAGTTTAGCCGTTTCACGTAAGCTGTCGGGTTGATTGCGATGTGACATAATTGTTTACAAATAGCAAATGGGGATAAGCGTAGGAACATAGCGTGCGATAGCATTAATAGCTGTTATTAATTTTCCGTAGGAAGAGAACTATTAGTTGAATATTAAATGCACTAAACTACTGCCGGAACTCTCTACGGAGAAATTACGCTGACTGGAGACGGTGATCGGGTCTACCGGCAGTGTGTGCTGAGAAGAATCATGCGGGACCACGGAGAAATTATACATGGTTACGGACGTTTCAGCGTCCATTGGCAGCATGTGTTTCATCCAAAACGGTAGACCAGGCCCGTAGGCCCGGTTGGCCGTTGCCTTGCACCCTGTAGTCCCCATTGAACCTCAACTGAAGCTTCCAAACGGACCGATTGGGTGTAGATCCTAGGGATAATTGGCCAGTGCTCTATAGTGATTTGCGTCCAGTCCTGATTAATCCACGAACATAGGACACGGACGGACTTGCGTTCTGAAGAGCATAGGAGACCTTTGGTAACTGAAAAACTAGATATAAAGGCACGAAAGCCACGTTCTCATCTCATCACAGACATCTTAGCAACAACTTATCCAAGTACCTGCTTTTCCCTTTCAAAGCATAACATACATTCGCCAACTCTCTCTAACACCTATCTCACTATGAAGAGCACACTTCTCTTGGCCGGAGCCCTTGCTCCCCTTGCCCTTGCTAAGGATCTCTGCGAGCAGTACGGATATCTTTCAAGCGACGGCTACGCACTCAACAACAACGTCTGGGGCAAGGACTCAGGAACAGGTGACCAGTGTACTCATGTCAACTGGAACAACGCCAATGGTGCTGGTTGGGACGTCGAGTGGAACTGGTCTGGTGGCAAGGACAACGTTAAGTCTTATCCTAACTCGGCCCTCTTGATCGGAGAGGATAAGAAAACTATCAGCTCCATCACAAACATGCAGTCCGCCGCTGAATGGAAGTACAGCGGTGACAACATCCGCGCTGACGTGGCGTACGATCTGTTCACTGCTTCAGACCCTAACCATGAGACCTCCAGCGGCGAGTACGAGCTTATGGTCTGGTAAGTGTTTCGAGGTTGCTACTTTACGTGGAGTTACTAACCTGTCTAGGCTTGCTCGAATCGGTGGTGTGCAGCCCATTGGAGCCCTGCAAACGAGCGTTACCATCGAGGGCCACAATTGGGAACTTTGGATCGGCATGAATGGCGATATGAAGGTCTTCAGCTTTGTTGCGCCTACCCCAGTCAACAACTTCAATGCCGACATCAAGCAATTCTATGACTATCTCACCAAGTCAGAGAACTTCCCCGCTGACAAGCAGTACCTCCTCAGTATGTATATCTAGAATGATCATTTATCAGATTACTAACTCATCTCCTATAGCCTTCCAGTTTGGTACCGAGCCCTTCACGTAAGTTTGCCGCATTATACCTTTTCTATCAATACATACTAATTAATGAATACAGTGGAGACAATGCCAAGTTCACTGTTAGCAACTTCAATGCCCATCTCAAATAAGGGACGACTCTATAGTAACCGAAGCGAAATTCGGAGCATTTTCACAAAAGCACATGTCCTACTTGTTGAACATCAGTTGTTCTACGATCATCCGATCACATCTCTCTTATTTATGTACATAGTCATATCTGCTAGTCAGGCTCCCTATCCTTCTTCAATCAATCCAGTATATATCATTCAACGCGACCCGATTCCAGTTGACACAGTTCGCGATGACATACAACCAGATCAGAGTGGTTGAGCCGGTACGATGTTGAACTTCCCCCTCGGCTTGAGCAGAAAGTAATTTTCGAACTCCAATGACATGGGGCATTCGGCGGCAAGCCTTACTCCCTTGAACCGTCTGAAGAACAAGGCAATCGTATAGCGCATCTCCATCTGAGCCAAATGAAGTCCTATGCAAACCCGGGGCCCTGTTCCAAATGGCGCGAACGCCATCTTCGCAGCTTCTTTGTGGGAGTTACCGAGCCATCTGGACGGATCGAATCTATCAGGGCATTAATGATCATGCTGACAACGGCGACTCCTTTATAGGCGCAAACCACTTACCTCTTGGCGTCTGGCCAGAAATCTTCGTTTCGATGTAAAGTAAAGGCCTGCGTACTCACTGTCACACCCTCAGGAATGTAATAACCTCCTAACTCGGCACCACCCTGCTTCGCAATTCTCGGCAAACTTCCCGCAGCAGGGCCATATAGCCTGAGAGTTTCATTGATGGTGGCACCAACCAGAGGCAGGGCTTCCACTTCTGCATCATTGAAGTCATCTGGCAACCCTGAAACCTCTTCTTCAATGGCTACTCGGAGGGAATCGTGACGCAAAACAGCCCACAGTAGGCATGTGAGGGTGAAGGCTGTGGTATCTGTTCCAGCGAGGATAAAGTTACCCGCTTCTGCACTCAAATCCAGCCTGTTCAGAGTACCAGAGCCTTCATCGAGCTGCGTAAAGATGCTGCGCTTATCGGTCCCGTTCTGAATGCCATTTTCTATCGCTTCTTCGCCGAGACTAGTCTGCTTGGCGTTGGCCCTAAACACGTCGCGAACGGCGGGAACGGGTAAATAATATCCCAAGAACCCAACGAGAGGGAGCTCTTCTGATATGATGCCACCTTTACCAGCCATCTGGAGAGTTTTCATGTAATTGTTGATCTCGGGGATTGTTAGATAGTGCATAGTAACCCTTCGATAGACTTACCTCTCCATGCTCCAGGGTGCGAAATGATTCGCCAAACATTAGCTGACCGCTGACATCTGTTGCCATGAACAGAAGCCATTTCATAATATCAGCCTTGCCGCTCTCGAGATCACCGGCGATTCTGTCCAAAGCAAGATCAATAGTTTCTTTGACCATTGTTTCCCATGTTGAACGAATCTCTGTCTTTGAGAAGGCCCGAGCGAAAATTCTTCTTCTCTCGCTATGTTCTTTAGAGCCCATCATTGCGAAAAGTGTTGGTACTGGCTTATCAATGAAGCGCGCATAATAAGGGGACTTAGGAAACCCTGAACCTGCTTTATGAATTGTCCTGCAGGCTTTAGCATCTACTATGCTTACTTCGCTTGGTGAGATTTGAACGACAGGTCCGTATTTCTGATGAAGTTCATGAACCAAGAACGTTCGTCGACCAGTGATCACTGCGATCTTAAGCGGCAGATTTGTGAAACGGGCGTAAAATGGGCCGGGCACTTTCCGCAGTGTGGCACTGGTGTTGGTAAAATAGTTCTGAAAACTCTTAGATTAGAACAACTAAGACTGACAGTAAGTGAACTTACCACCAAAAGCCTGCTAATAAGAATGAGCAAGCTAAACGCGCCGATGAGGTGGTTTGAGGTTGAAAGTTCCATTCTACAACCTTGAATTTAAAGATGTTGAGACATATATAATGGTAAATCAGTGGGGAGAGAGAAAAAGGATGCACTAAGAGTAGTGAGGAAATCTATAGTCGTATTTTCTTTTACTTCAAGCTTGACATTTGACTTTGGCAAAACTGTCAAATACAAGAAAATGAAATAAATCAAATTATATATAGTTAATGTTTCCCTACAAGTTAACCTTTAAATACTCTCTACCGATTCTATAACAAAGCCCAAGATGACATCCGTTGCCTATCGGCAATTACTTTACTGATATAGTCCGACGGCCTTTTATGTTTGTAAATATCCGTTGTATATTGATGTCGCAGGATTCTGGAGAACGGTGGATCTTAGAATGTCCGCAGGTCCTGTTACCAAGGAAGCCAATTAGATAGTGTTAATTGCTGGCATAGTGGGGCGATAGTCGTGACCACCAGGCGACTTTTGATATCGCGTGGACTTTCGGACTTTCACACAAAACCGAAAACACATATTACTAGGATTAAGGCTTAACGACTCCTGTCGATCCCAGTGTGATTCTACTTAGGTAGCTTCCTATCGTCACCGGGGTCTGAACGTCGCCTCGGCCGAAATGCTTGGTACTGAACACAACCCCCCTACGGACAGTTGAGTCACTGAGAAACATGATACCAATTTTAGCAATTATAAGTATACAGTATATCGTTGACATGCACCTTAGCATCTAAAGTGATCCATTACCATCCTTCTTTAACATGGCTCGGATCACAATTTCCCCCATTGTGTTACCAAGGAATGCCAGCAAAAGAGACCTGCCATCTGGACAACAGTTGGTCTCTGCAAACCCTCTCTCGCGACTTGGCCAAGAACCTCATTCCTTTTTTGCACAAGAAATTCTTTCTGTTTAGACGCCCATTCATGCATCTTGTCAGGATTGTGAATACACCACAATGCAACTTCTCTAGTAGCCATAGCATCCTCCAAAGCTGAGTGCTTCGACTTGGCCTGGATCCGCATATCCAGGAACTCAGCACAGAGCGTCTTGAGACTCCAAAATCTCTTCAGAGATTCCGTGCCAAAGACCGCTTGACTTGTCAATACTGCAGTATCAACAATGTTGTCGTGTGCCACTCTCAAGCTTTTCAAGTCGTTTCTCAAAGCATGACCGACTATTACCGTATCTTTGTCGATGAGCTCAAATAGCCGACTTCGAGCCTCATCCCAGCCGTCCAAGTGGTTGCTTTCCGCTGTGAATGTGCTCAAATTGATACCATGGATTTGAGAATTCCACTTGAATATGCGTTGTCGTGGCTTTACAAGAGAATCCAACAGAACCTTCCTTTGTATGACATCAACGATGCATATTGACACCGGTTGCTCGGTACCATCTCGTCCATAAGCCATTTCGCAATCAATAGCTATAACCTTGGTCGTGGATTTTCGAACCTTCGGATGAGGTGGACATTTTGTGTTTTTGAGAAGTTTGTATTCTTGCTTTGAGAAAGTCTTTCCAAACACTTTTTCCCTTTTGAGACGTTCAACTTCTGTCGGTATAGGAAAGCCCAATCCCTTTAATAGCGGAGTGGAATGGCGTTCAGCCATGAGTCGACAATAAATATCCGATTGTCCGATGAGCTTGTCCAGCTTGTACTTTTCGTCTGGGAAACAGGATTTTAAGGGCGGGACGGGAGGAGCATTCTTCTTTGTAGTCCGGCCCTGACTCCAATAGCGAACATGTTGTCTTGTTATTGGAAATCTACTTTCATATCGGGGAGAACGGAAAACAACAAGCAAATTCTTCTGTAGGTCTCTTGACATATTTCGCGTGTAGGGTGGCGAATTGGAAGAAGATTCGTGAGACCTGTAATCATCATTGAACAATTTGCACCGCATTCTTAAAGACCCGCCTTTCTTTCCCCTTTCCGGCAAGCTTCTATAGATAAGATAAGGAGATAAGAT